GTGTGAAGGGAGGGCGGTTGAATTGCTACATAGCACAGGGATAAATTTGCAAACCTGGTTGTTTCTGCTCTGTGAATTCTTCTGTTGTCCCCAGGAATATGTGGCAGTGCCCATTAGGACCCTACATTGATATCAAATGCGTACAGTCCCTACCGAAGACGTACCTTTGTTCTCACTCACGTACATTGTGGGATGTGCCCTGGCCAAGTGTGGCTGATTTCTTAAGAATGAATTATGCCCTCCTCCGCACTCACTGTATAATGTAGATGCCCCTCAAAATAAATGCAATGTGTTTTGGTCCTTCCTTCCTTCCTTCCTTCCACCTTCCCTCCCTCCTCCCCTCCCCTCTTTTCTTCTTTTCTTTCTTCCTTCTCTTTTTTTGGTAGCTAAATATATGTGGCTTTTCCCCCACGTTTTTTCTCTTTCTAAAAGAGATCTAATTTGATACTCCCGACTTCAAGACTTGGAGCATCTTCCATTTGGCCACAGATCATGTTCACTCCATCTCAGGAGGCACTTTCCCTCCTTCTTGGTGCTCACCTGATACATTCCTGGACACACACTAAGCTCTAACCCCATTAGACTCCTCACAGGCACGTTCACATCTCCTCTGTGTCTTGTCAAATGCTCTTCCCTACTGCAAGTTCTGGCCCAATGTCTGGTACCTGGTGTCTAGCTTTCACTCAGTACACGCCAGCTGTTAGGACCATTGTCAGTATTATGGGCTGCTCCTGGGGGACCTGGCAGAGTCAGCTATGCTGGATGAATCGGGGAACCAACCAGAGACCCACACTCAGGGGCTGGCATCCAGCGTTGTCTCTTTCTGGCCCTGCCTCAGCCTGGCTCTCCATGGATGAGGCTGGGTGAGAAGGGGGAGGGATGGGCTCTGGTTAGTGGCAGAGGGGTCAGACACCATCACCTCCCACAGCAGGCTGTCTGGGCTGAGTTTGAGTCAAGACTCAGCCGTGTCCCTCTGGGTCCTCTGAATGCCATGCTTCCTTTTCTCCAACAAAACATGCTGGCTCTGAGCCAGCCAGTGCGGCCATCCTCTGCCAACACCCCCAGTACGTCTGGTGCTTACTGCCGGGGGTCCCTTGGAAAGGAACGAGATGGCTTTGCAAATGCCTTCAGAGGGTGGACAGCTTTTGCTGTTGCACCAGAGTCTTCTGAAAACAGGTTTTTAGAATTTCATGGAGTGATCAATTCTGTCCCTCTGAGAACAAAATGACTCAGCCCTTGAATAAGGCTGGAGATTGAACTATTTGGAGAATTAGGGAAAGACAGAAGACAATTGAAATGCAGACATTTAGAAAGACCCAGTTTTCCATAGTGTTCTTCTGGGTGTGTAAGATCATTTTTCCTCAGGCAATAGTTTGAAGAACACCTGCAACTGTCACCTTGGCACGGAGGTTTGAAAATACAGAATCCCAGGTCCTGCCCAGACCTCTTTAAACTGATCTCTGAGGAGGGGGCACAGGAGTCTGCATTTTAAACACCTCCCTTGGTGATTCTTATGGATAATGAAGTTTAAGAGCCAATGGCTCCATTCCCGATGCTTTAGACATTCCAGAAATGTATGGAAGGCCCAAATACATCCAGGACTTCTCTCTTCCCCCTGGTGCTCACTGTCCAAAGGATATGAGTGATGCAAGGAATTTCTGGCACCTGATAAATATCCTCATTAAAAACATAGGCAAATTAGTTTATCTTGCATTTGGGTTAAATTCTAAAAATGCACAGCCTGTGGTCCCTCCGAGGGTCACACCACAGCCATGCGAAGGCATCGTCCTCCTGCCCCCAGTATGTAAAAGGATGGCAACAGGACACGGGCGTGGCCTGCTCTTTCCATCGTCTCTCAGAAAGAAAGGCACCGTGAAACAGAAACTAATTTCACAAACATGAGGAGAGAGGTTTATTGCTCGCGGTAACAGAAGACTGAGCTGTGTCCTAGAAGGAATGTACAGTTGGCAGGAGATGACTCAAGTCAACGTCCCCTCCTCCCCCCGCCCATCTCTCAGTAAAAACAGGCAGGCTCAGGGAAACATCTTTGGGAGGTCAGCTGACCCTGAGACTACAAACCCCCAATGCCACCACACTCATCCGAGTTGACGGTCCCTCAGTGGGTCCCAGGGCTCTGAGATCCCCTCCTTCAAGAAGAAGCATAGGAAAAACTAGGGTGACTGAAAAAGGCATCACAGGCTGGGCTTAAACCTACAAATCTGATCATGGAAGGCTAGAAATTGCACCCTATACGTGAGTTTAGGAATTTGAAAGCCTCTCCATTCTGGGCTTTATCTTCAAGCCTCTTAAAGTGCTTTCACTTAGTCCAGTTGCTACCAGAGTTTGGGCCTTCAGCATCGAGCCTCGTGCTAGACTGAAGTCAAGCAAGTAAACCCAGGCTCTTTGACAGAGATGCTGATCTCGACGTTTCTAACCGTTTTACCTGAGAAAACCATGTTACGTTTGATAAATTAAATTACCAAATGAGGTAGATAATTCACCTGGCAATGATAAAGCTGGGGGCAAATTTTAGAGACTGTAAAGAGATGCACAGAAAGCTTCATCTAAAGGTGATTCCGGCAGAGTTGGTAAATACGGATAGCTAATTCTGTGAGTTTCTTCTCACTACTCCTTGGGTTTTAATGCCCGTGTCTAAACAACAGCAAAAGCAATCCAACTGACTTATCTGGGGTTTTTTCCACATGATGCTAATACAACTGATTTTATTGTTTTTGTTTTGTTTTGTTTTTTAGCAGTCCTAGAGGTTTGTGAAAATTGTGAAATGCATCTTTTCAAGATATGTGGTGTGTGGGTGACAAATCTTGTCTCTTAGCTAAAAAAGAGGTAAAAGAGATCTAGTTGCTTCTGGGACAATAATATGCTGCCTAGACAGTTATTTGACTGTTCTTCCTCCAACCTGACTTTGAGGAAAACATATTTTACTGCTTGAACTTGACTGTCTACTGACCTCATCCACTGGGTCACGATTCCTCTTTTGCCCAATTTTGAGAGGATTTGTGCATATTTTCTTGGCTTCGTGCTTGTTTTCGACCTCACTGGTACTTTTGGTGTTGGGACAAGGGAGGGTGAACAGCTGCTTGTCACTAGAAAAGTGCCACAAAGATGAATGTCTGCTGTGATTCAAACTTGAGTGGCCAAAAGCGCTCTGAATCGGAGCAATTTTGTTTCAGTAACACACAAACTCACATCTGGGCAGTGGTGTGCTGGCAGATGTGTAACAACCAGCTCTCAGTGGAGAAAAAAGACCTGATTTTAGCATTTACTTTTTCTTGGTATAAATATTCCCATCATGGCTGATTTCAAGCTACCAACGTGACGTCCCCGAACACAGAATTGGGAAGAACGTGCCCCACTGGCTCCTCCGAGCAGGCCTGAGCACACCTCCAACCACAACCAGAAGGTGTCAAGGCCTCAAAGCTACTTCTGTCCTCGTTCTAGAATCCACAGGAATCTTGAAATTAGACAAGACTAGGCCAGGCTCAGTCATTTGTTTTCTAAATGAGGAGCTAAGGTAAATAAGACAACATGTTTTCACATAGACACGCACAGCACGTCTCTGTGTTTCAATACTGGGGCCACTTGGCAGTGAAAAGCGCCAGGCTCTTCCTGGTTGGTCCCCAGTGGACTGTGTCCTCCCCTCTATACCTCTAAAGTTAAATGTGCAGAGCTGGAAAGAGAGAATGAGCCACCTGGGTCTATTGCTCGCATCCTTTCCACCCTGGAGGAATCACTTAGAGTGGAGGACGGTGAAGTAACTGCTCTTAGCATTCACACGTCATTTGAAAGGGTAATCAAAGACGGACGGGCAGAAAGCACGGTCCACTCACCTTGGTTTTTATTAAATCAAGACAGAGGCTGCTAATGGGTCGGCATATGTGCTATAGTTATGGTTTTCAATAAAAATTTCACTCTCTCATCATTAGCACAGGGCACTTTCTGCATCACCTCGGGCAGCGTCTACTTTCTGTTGATCAACTTACAGGATATTGAGCCACCAGGATAATGGAACCCAATGCCTTAAAATCGAGGCTAAAACTCTGCTCAGGTCAGTTCTTGTCCATCATCTTGCAGGACGCGCTGGACAAGATGTGGGAGACAAGGTGAAATGCTTCCTGCAAATTCAGGTCACAAATCGGGGAGGGGAGACCAGCCAGCCACCTTCCTCCTGCCTCCCCTTGGCTCCAACAGCTATGACATGTAAATCAGAAGAAGGTGACTTCAGGGTCAGACTTCAAAGAACATTATTATATGAATTACCTGCCTATTTAAACCACTTTCATGCTAAGATTGTCTATACACACAAACGTTAGCTTTTTGGGGGAAAAGAGGGACAAAAATTGAATCCAATAAACCATTTCTAAGACAACTGGTCGGCAACAATTGGGTAGCCACTAGTTGTTAAACACTTTCCCCTTGGGTGCAGGGCCCAAGAGTTCCAACTAAGCACAACTGAGTGAGTACCAGCTGAATACTATCTGGGTTAAGGCAGCCACCACTACCATGTGGAGAAGAGGAGCCATGTTAGATGTGGGGCCAAACGGCCACAGCAGACCTCCCTCTCGGAGTGACTGATGTCCCACGGAGACCACCACTTTTCTTCAGCATGGAGCCCAACATCCAGCGGTTAGGGAGCAGGTGGACGCCATGCTTCCCCGCCTGCCACCAGCACTGTGTCCTTGATCACGACTGGACCAAGCGTCATCCTGGGAAGCCCCTGGCGAGTCTAGGAGCTCAAGGGAGCTTCTCAGAAAGAAAGCCAGAGCAGGCCCCATGGTCATCCTTTGGTGATAAACAGGGACGGTCCGACACCTGCCCTTGAAGACCCAGGAAGCAGGCTTCAGAGCCTCAACAAGCCAGGGAACCAGAGTCACTGGGCTTGCCCGGGGGTGGCGGCTGGTGGTGGCCTCCCGGGAGCCCCAAGCCCTCCCTCCCCACTTCTCACCGGCGGTCTCGTTCCCAGCTCTCCAGCAGGGGCGGCGTCCTTCACTCGGAGGCCGGCAGGATGTTCTGGCTGTGGGAGTCTCCTGTGAGGCCCGAGGAGCGGAGGGAGCGCCTGTTGAGGAGCCTGTTGAGAATCTCTCTGCAGCTTTTGCGGTATTGGTGTCGCAGTAAGGAGTACACGAAGGGGTCGGACGCGGCCTTGCTGTAGGCCAAGCACTTGGAGAGCACTCCCCAGTGGGAGCCGATGGGCACCGTGGAGGACAGCTCCACCAGCCTGTGGAGAGACGGGGAAGGCCGTTACCGGGAGCCCAGCTGGGCGCTGCAGGGGGCGGCCACAGACCAGACCTCCAGTCTGAGCCCGGACCCCAGCTTCCCGGCCAAGCTAAATTTCTCTGAGACTTTCTCAAGTAACAATGACAGCAACAACAATTTACAACAATAACAGTAATGACGGTGCACGTTCATCAGACACGTATTTTATCCTAGGTACCGTGCTAACTGTGCACTTCCCAAGTGGTTTCATGGAACCCTGGGAGATATGACTGTCTCCATTTCACACGTGAGGAAACAGATGTCCAAGGACATTAAGTAATTTGCCCAAGATCACATGACCAGTAAATTGTAAAGGCAGCATTTGAACCCAAGTTTGTCTGACTCTGGAACCCAAGCTTATCCAAGCAATGGGCTCATAGCTAATTGTGTCCTGGCCATTGGCTCCAACTCTGCTGCTGACCTGCTGTGTGACCCTGGGCAAGTCATCTCCCTTCCTTGGGCCTGGATATTTTAGATGAAAACTGGGGAGGTTGAATAAGATCACCTCTATGACCATCGCAACTAGAAGAGTCTGATTCTTTGCTTCAAATCCTAGCTCCGCCTTCCTAAGGAGGCTGCCTGGGAGGAAGGGCTGAGAGTGATTTTGCAAATACTCTGCAAAGTTCAAAGCATGTCTCGCACCAGGAAGAATCTGCTGGCGAGGAAGCCCTCTTCCCAGGGCTGGGATTCTAGTGACCCCGGCAATAGCAGCAGCCAGGGTACCCTAAGGTGACCCTCATTCTTTGGGAGGGAGCGAGGGAAGATGTAGCCCATGTGTCCAAGAGGCACGCTTCTGAGGGTCCTCCTAGTACCCATGGAACAACTCCATTCAGTGGTGCTAATGCCAGGCTGTGAGGTAGTAAAAGCCTCGCTCTGTGTAAACGGAATTCCCTCCAAATCAAGCCACTTATTCTCCCCTCTCAAGTGTGTCCAGCACCCTTGGCCATATTTGGACATTATCCAGCATAAGCATAAGGCAGAAAAGACCCACAGAGCTGGGAGAGAGAGCTCAGAGATCATAAATTACCCTCTCCCCCACTTGCTGTCAAATAAGGAAATTGGGGCCCAGAGAGGGAAAGAGGTTGCCCAACGTCACACAGCAAGTCAGTGGCAGAGGAAGGTCCAGTCTGTGCTCTGACTGGGATCTGGCACCTGTATTCTACCTGAGGTGTCTGCAGGATGGAGGCAGCAGTGGCTTTCAGCTTGGTGAGCTGCCCAGGTGAGGACCCCAGGTGAGGACCTCAGTCAGAAAGGACTGAGCTTGGGCTGTAAGTCTGTGCTGCCAACTTTACGGCTTTCCTTGAAGCCTTCTTTGGGCTGAGGTTGTGAGGACAAGCCCACGAACAGAGGAGGAGGGAGCTGGTGGGGCATGGTCCTCCACTGCAATGCCCCTTTTCCCAATCCTTAGCGAGTCCATTCTGAGGCCCCTCTGTTTGGCTTCCCGTGTCTGGCACCACTGCCCGCCCTCGCCCTCTGACCTCGTGGGGGAATGTGGCCGCGTTTCTGCTCGTGTCCTTGGGAGCCCGCATGGAGAAATGGAGCTGTTAGCCTTTGGGAAATCTGTGCTTTTCAGAAATCTATTTTGGGAAGTGACGAATTTAAGGGACAAAAACCCTGAATTTAGAATTCACACCTAATAATAACAATGAAATAGCTGAATGCCAACACATTGTTGCTATGCGATGCCAAATTGCTCTTCCAAAATGTCTAGTCTTCTCTATATTGCTAAATTCAGTTTTAGCATTTTGGCTCTCCCAAGGGGATTTATTAAAAGAGTCAAATATCATCAAACCATTCAGCAAGATCAAAATTATTATTTGCAGGTTCTGTAGATTTCACAGAACAAAATTATTTGGGGCAATTTAAAATTTCACCACTTAGATAATTAAGAGGTAAAATCTATTGCATTTGCTACTCAGAGATTTTATGTCGGGTCTGAACTCGCCTGGCTGGGTAATAATTCCCAGCTGAGTGCCTACTTTGGGCCAAATACTTGATGCACAATCTCTAATCTTACAGTTATCCCGCAGAATGGGTATCGTCATTCCCATTTTACAGATAAGGAGATCGAGGCTCAGAGAGATTGAGCAGCAAGCCAGCATCTCCTACATGGGAACCCCCATTCCATCTGCCTGCAGCCCGAGTCCTGACCGGGGCCACACTGGGACTCAAATCTCAGCTGTGCAGATTGCATGATATGAGCTCTGGGGTCCCACCCAACCCCTGAGAACTCCTTTTCCATGAAGTTACGTGCTACCCAGCGCTTTCGTCACTTGTCCCTGTCCGCAGTGCGCACAACGACTTCTGCTTTGGAAAGCTCGTGTCTCGCCTTTGTCAGGGCCTCCAGGCAGAGCGATGCTTCGGAGCAGGACGGTCCTGGACACTGTTGCAGTTGGTGTGGCTGCCGGGCCAGGCCGAAGCTGGGGTGCCCCCTTCCGTGCTCAGATGTGGCTGGCTGACCCGCTTTCTGCTTTTCCTGTGCACTTGGACCCCGGCCCCCGTCCTGTGCCTGCTGGAGCTGGCTTTGCTTCCTCCTAGCTCTGACAGTTCCAAGCCCCCATTTGTTTCAGGGGACTGAGAAGGGGCAAGAATTCCCATATTGCCACAACCGCTTCTTTCTAATTCCAGATCTGGGCAGGCATTTGGATGACCTTGCAGTCCCCTCCAGATGACCTTTTAGAAAGGGAACGCTCCAGCCCATCTTCTCATGCCAGCTCTGCCCGCCCTGTCCTAACACCCTCCCCACTGGGAAAGGGGCATTTTTATTCTGGTCAGTCACATTTTCCTCGTGGGCAGGGTCACTGTGTGCTAGCAGTGCCCGCCATGCTCTGCCCTCTCTCTCTTTTACTCCCCGTGATGGGTTACTGAATCCCCGCTCCTGCCCTGACCCCGGCCATCGTAGGTAAATGGGTAACTTGCCTCTTGTGTCAGCCCCTTGCCCACCTAGGTCTGACTCAAGAGCCCCTTGTTTAGGGGTTATGGGGCTCAGGTGTTAATAAAGTGGGACTTTGTCTCCTTCTGTTAAACCCCTGTGTGGGTAGACTTCTGTCTCCCCAAAATTCATAAGTTCAAGTCCTAACCCCCAGTATCTCAGAATGTGACCACATTAGGAAATCCGGTCGTTGCAGATGTAATTAGTTAGGATGAAGTCACAGTGGATTAGGGCGGTCCCTTAATCCAGTATGCCTGGGGTCCTTATGCAAAGTGGACATTTGGACCCAGATGCACACAGGGAGAAGGCCATGTGAAGAGGAAGGCAGAGATGAGGTGATGTTTCTATAAGCCAAGGAGCACCAAAGATTGCCAGCGAACCACCAGAAGCCCGGACAGAGTCCTGAAACAGATTCTCCCTCATGGGCCTCAGAAGGAACCAGCCCTGCCGACCCCTCGATCTCAGACTTCTAGCCTCCAGAACTGTGAGACAACACATTTCTATCATTTAAGCCACTCAGTTGGTGGTAGGGTGTTATGGCAGCACTGTAAAACTAATACACACCAAGTAAGGAGGCCTATGGGGATGGAGGGGGGTGTTAGGCAGGATTTGGTTGTTTGCAGGTCCCTGGTCATAACAACATCAAAATGGTACCAAGCCCCCACCCCACTCCTGGAGCCCTGTGTACCAAGGACGACCCTCAGAGTTTGCAGAAGCATTAGCAGCCCCGGGGCAGGGCACCACTCCCTCCCTGCCCTCCTGGAAGCAGAGGTTTGCCCGACAAGCGTGGCTCCCTGCCCCCTGCCCCTGACCTTCCATTAGGCACCAAGGTGATTTTCCCTGTACTGCCTGGGGTAGGAACCGGAAAACCGTCTGTCACTAGGCTCCCTTCAGAGAGAAACGTTTATGCTTCTGTGCTCAAAATGCACACCTGCCCCACATGGCCTGAGATCCTTCCCCCACGTGAATCCCCTGTGGGGAGAGCCCACAAACTTGGTCTGCAAGTCAGGTCAGGGGGAGGGGAGAGGAGGAGGGGGAGGGGAGAGGAGGGCAGGAGTCTGTGTTTTTCAAGCATTTCCGGTGAGTTTAATGCAGGCAGCTCAGAGACATGCTGTGAGCACCTGGGGGAATCTGGGCAGCACCCTGGGGGTTGGGGGGATGCGGAGGTGGGAGGTGTGAAATGGTGCAGGGTACAAAGCACAGAGATATGTTTCTGACTCACGATGAGACACAGAGCAGATACCGGAGGATTACCTCTCAGTCCTATGCACCCTGCCCCACCTCTGCACCCCTTTGCTCTGTATTTGTCAGGGAGACTCCTCCAGGGAGCCACGCTCCTTTCTCTTGGCAGGAAGCCCTCTGATCTGGGTCACGGGCAGGTCTCTGTGCTGGCTGTCACAGCAGAGGGCTGATGAGGCCAGGAAGCCTGCCCCCCCTTGCCCCTTACTCCATAGGGACCTCTCACCACCAGTCCCCACCCCCCACAGCCCGGCAGACCTGGTCCCTGGAGGGAGGATGGGGGTACATTTACCAGAACTCCAAGGCATGCTCTGAACCCCGGAGAGACCAACGTCTCAACCCTACTGGACAACAAGAATCTCCAAGGAAACTAAGTTCTGGGGTGAGAACAGGATCAGTAACACCAGCAGCCCAGACCCAGCCCCTCCTCTAGGCCCCCAGGGGCTCAGTCCTTGATAACGACTTCCCAAACATTGTCTCAAGCCCCCCGATCGTGTTCTTCCTACTGTACAAAGGAGGAACCAGGGCAAAGTGATGTGTCAAGGCCACATGGCCCGAATGTGGAGGAACCAGGATTTGAACCCTGGACTCTGGGCACCAGTGACCATGTGCCTTCCCAACCACGTACCTCCTTGATTCAGTTCCGTGGTGCAGTCAGACCTTGACTTTCAACTCTTGAATTTAAGTCGTAAATTAGCGCCTCTCTTTACACTTCCATGCCTCCATCATCTCTCCTCTCTCCCCACACCCCCCTCACACACTCACACACACACACGCACACACACTGTGCA